AACTTTCACAATGTATATAATTTAAACCTGTTGCGCGTAATAAATATTGATGTAACTAATAATGATTATTAAACTTGAAAGTAAGTTAGTTAAGTTACATAGTTTTCAACTAAAACTAATTATTACTATACATGTACTTTGCCCATACTGGTACTGTGAGAGGGCCCAACCAGTGGTGTAGTTTCTCTATTTTTCTAATTGCTTCATTTTATGGTCAATTCTCTGTTAATTTTCAATGTAAAACTTATTAATGTTAGAATTAAAATAAAGAGTGGTCATTGACCATCCTATGCCTTATGTCAAAATTCTTGTTTTATTTACTTCGTTTTTGAATTTGATCAACAGTGAGTTTCAAATGGTTAGTTACAAGTCAGTTACATATCCAAATGTTAAGTACAAGACCTCACAAGTTAATGTTAGATTATTAAGAACCAATAATTGAATATGCATGATTTTTTATATTTGAACTTAGTTTATCATCTAAATTTAAGCAGTTTTTTCTTAAACTCTATAAGTAATAATATTAAAAAAAGATAAATCTCTTATCATTATCATCCACATCTTATAGTTCTAAATCTTCACTGTTAAATGAGTACAGTCGATTGTTTTGTGCATATAACAACAGTGCTTTTGTTTTTGACATTTAATGCTTTTACTTTTTTTATATATTTTTTAAATGTATACAGAGTAACCAGAATTTTAAATACACAAACTCTTAAACATTCCAGAGTTTGCTAATTACCAGAGAAAGAAGACATACAACATACTTTACATTAAACAAGTCAAGTTTAATCTTACCTTGATATTTGGAAATATATACTATACAATCCATACAAACATTAATAAATAATACAATTACTTGAACAGGGTTTTTTAGTTTATCACCCTACATAAGGGTGCTGTAGTCTTGTAAATCAGGTTCTTAGTTTTTAAAATAATATCTCCGTTGGGCACTATTATTAACTTGCCATTACTTCTTGGAAATAATAAAGGTTCCTAGCTTTATCTTGACATATCCTCCCATATGATGGCATCTACTTTGTTAGTCCTATTACTGTTTATGTGTTGTGTAAACATGTGTGCCACAAATCTGTGTGGCATATTTTCAAAAGCTTTGTGAAATTCTAAGTACACTAAGTACACACCATTTCCTTCATCCAGATAACAAGTCACGTCTCTGAAGACAGATAACAGATAAAAAAGATAAGATTTCCCTTTGGTGAATTATTATTGGCTTCCATTTATGACATAATTTATCACTTAGTGACGTTATCGGACTATAACTTTACCAACTATAGAAGTAATATTAAGGTATACTGCCCAATAATTTCTAGGACAACTCTTATCACCCCATTTAAAAGTATAATATGAACAGCTCTTGAGTCCTCAGACACAGGTCACTCCCAATTGACTTACCAAAAGTAAAACAGAGAGACTTGCATATCTGATCTTTGATCTTCTGTAAAACCATGGGGAAAACTGTCTGGAAGTGGTGCTTTATACATTATTAGTTCCCCAGTCTTTCTATCTATCATCAAGGGATTAATATACGCAATTCAGGTCATTTCTAATATATCAAATAGAACGCTCAAGGTCAGAAATATTGGTAATATTTTCTCTTGTAAAAGAAGAGAACATTTAAAAACTCATCTGTCCCATAATGCTTTCAGCATTATTTATTAAGGTCATAATCTCCATTCTAACATTTCAGTTACCTTTAACATAGTTGAAAAAATCCATACTGATAATTTTAAAATTATCAGCCAGTTGTTTCCCATAAGACTTCTGGATTTTCTAATTTGTTGTTTTAAGCAAATCCATAGCCTTTCTATTGTTTTGTAAATCTTAAAACTATCCAACCTTAAAGTATTTATTTCAAATTTTCTCTTTTATATCTTCAGTAACCCAATTAGATCTTATAGTCCCTGTTATCCTTTTAATATTTTTAGATACTACCTAATCTTGAATTAAAAGCAATTTATTTTTAAACATTTACAGAAATCCTAACCTTCAACAACTTTTAACTTAGTCTTCCATTTAACTAATGATAAATTTGTATCATGGCCTCTTCAATGCTAGTAGACTACGGTTCATCCGTAATATAGTATCGAAAGAGTTATCCATGACATTTATTTCTGGTTGAAAGGTTTTTATGGCGCAGAGCCTCTTTGAATTTTAATGTTCTTTCATTTGTTGCTTGGAATAGGAAAATTTCATAGCATGTTGTAAAACACGAGTTCTTATAGATAGAAGAAGAAATATTTTCTACAATCCTTTGCCGAAGACATCTAGTAATGGACACAATGTAGCCTTTCAAGCAGAGAGGAGATTTATATTTTTAAATGACACGGAATTGTTGTATTTCATTGAATTTGCCTGTAGATCGGAAGAAGTTATATACACGTTTAAAGTGTATTTGAGGATAGGCCTTATTGAATAAGTTCACAATTTTAGACCTTAAATAACAAAGATTGACTATCTAGATAAGAGAGTGTGATAATTATCAAACATTTATCAACTGTCCATATCGAAGAATTGTTATTAACATTATTTAATTTACTTATCATTAGTTTGACATTTTATTCAGTAACTGTAATAGAAAAACCATTTTTTTTTTCAAGAACCCCGATAGTGTTTCATGACTCTTGTTTAAGTTATTGATAAGGTTATATTTAAATAATTCTGGTATAAAACTTTCATTGTCATAATAAACACTTCTTCGTGTTTGTTCATGAAAGAAACTAAAACAAGAACTTGAAACATTTGAAATTATTCCTAAATTGAATGGAAAATCTAATGCTGGGATGTTTTTTTTTTTTTTGTTTGTTTAGATATGTTAAAAATGAGTAGACTGATCCTTATTGTGAAATAAAATATAAGTGTTATCCACATATTGTATGTAATGTAAAGGTTTGATTTCATTTGTGAGGTTGGCCAGCCATTGCCTTTTATGGTGAGAAAGGAATAATTTTGCTGATGTTGGGATAAGTTAGGAGCTTACCTGATCTTATATTTTATTATTAAAGATAAAATCAGAATCTTCTGAAACACCTTGGATAAGTATGGGATCTTGATATGTAAGATTCGTTGATAGGTCAGTAGTTTCCTCTAGTGAAATGTTTGTAAATAATCGTTCTACACAGAATTCCCACAGTCCTAGAAATCTTTGAATTTTAAAAAATCTTTTAGCGTCATTTCCAGGCCTGTAAATATCATCGAAAATTCTGAACAGTTTTGAAATGTAGACAACAACCTGACAAAAAAAAAAGTTTATGAAGTTTAAAGATGGGTAAACAGTTTGAAAATGTCAATTAACAATCAAACTGTCTGTTTTTCCATGTGCGCACATGCACGTTATCGAAATTTTAACTGATCTGTTGATACCATAATGTAACCTGGTAAGTAGCTGTTTGTGTGTGTGTGTTTTTTACAATTGCATGTTTGGATATGCCATAATGAAAAGACTAATATTTGTATCAAGAAGTTACAATTTTGTATAATATGTTATATTCTATAGCCCAAGGCTTCTAGGTACGTATGCGTAGGCTAGATATTAAAGTTAAATAATTCCTGTGAATCGTACACTAACAGTAACACGACTAATGTTAGGGTCTAACATGTATAATGTTATTACTTAGGCCTAATGTGTTAAGTAGATCTAGATCTCGTCTCTAGATTTAGATCTACGTTATATCACAGTAAAAATGATTAAATCGAGACGATTGTGGGCACTCAATTAAGTCTGTACAAATAAGTATAGGCTTAACATTTAGTACTAAAGGGCTAGTCTGTTAATGTTAGGCCTAGGCCTAATTGTTCGTGTGTGCTATAAATATGAGGCAGGCCAAGTTGTACATTTAGCAATTAGATTTAATAGTAACAGATCTAGGTATAGCTTTATTGTCAAATTTAATATCCCAAGATTAAATAGAAAACGTATTCAATACTTGACTTAGAGGTCTTCATCAGTATTAGTGCCACTGATTTTCAGTATAATCAGCCAATTTTCCTTTAGGCTATCATGTATCTATAACTTATAAGTAAATGCATAAATAACAAAGAAGAAGAAATATTATTTGGACTTGAAGTCTACGCTCAGTTATATTTGCAGGATTCTCATATGGATGTAATAATAAATTGTACATTTTTCACCACATTCTTATCTATCGCAGTTTGCCTATGCATATCGGCGTTATGAATAAAATTCCTATGGACTTATGTCATACATGTTGATCCATCTTTGGTTTAGCACCACTGGATAACTAACATATATAACTAGACCCTGCGTTATTTTGGATTTTTTGTTTGCAGTTACTGTCTAAGTAAAACATGAGGTGAGTGCCGCGAATACGCTGGTGAGCAAAAAACCTGATTTTGCGATAAGCGAAGATAGCAGTATATTTTTGATATTTCCCAAATTCGTATACAATTTTAGTTACGCTGCAGACCTAATAAAAGATCAAAGAAAAATGTTTTGGTGCGATTCTTAACATTATATTACTTCAATAAAAGTTGGATGAAGATGTATCACGCTCTTGCCATAACTTGCATAAGGATATAGCAGTATAACGAAATGTAACGCTAGAATAAATTAGACCTAGGCCTAGTGCTAACAACTAGGCTTAGATCTATTTGTTCGTAGCAAAGAATTTTCAGAAATTCTAGGAATCATGCTAGAGTAGAACGGGCTTCACATGTCCAAAGAATAATACTAACAGTAACATACGATACATACTAATACATTTGTATTATATTTATAATGAAAATAAGGATTCTCAATAAATAAATAACAATAGTTAATATAATAAATCTCAATAGAAATCTTATGATAAAGATTATGTAATAAATTTACGAAATTTTTAAAGGTAATAGCATTACATAATAATTTACTAATACTACATTAAGAGTATTGAATATAATGTTAAAAGACCAATATATAATAATAAAATGAACATTGTTATATTCTAAATTTAATTTTTATTTCCATCCCTCTGCAGGTTTTGATAATGCTGAGCTTGTAATAGTTTTAAAACAAGCTGGTTTTTAAATCAAAATTACCAAAAATGGTTGGAAAGGGATTCACACGCTAGAAAAGCCAGATGTAAAGCATGCCAAAGTTCATTTGACATCAGCAACATGGGAGGGAACATGATAAGCAAGAAACATGAAGACAACATCAAGCAAACAACAATACTACTATCTATACCTTTTTCAAACCACATGAATGGAAACCACCCATCTTAAAAAACAAACAAACTACCATTGTGATTGCCATCAGTTCATTTTCCAGTATCTTGTCATTTGTTTCCTCCACTGATGTTTTAAAATCAAACATTTTTTAATGAATTCTGAGAAATATGGACTGTAGTGGTTCATTTCATTCAAGTGAAAATATCACAGAACTATTCAAGAGTGTGTTCCCTGCCTGTTAAATTGCCCCGAGGTTTTCATGTGTGGAAAATAAAACATCCTACTTAGCCATATATGGGTTAGCTCCTTATTTCACTTCCATACTGAAGCAGAAAATCCAGAAGTCTAATGGGTATATTCTTTTGTTTCGTGAAAGCATGAACAAATCCCCCAAGATGTGACATTCATGCTTACTTCTAGGATGAAACACTATCCACAAAAGATAAATCAAATCAGTGTTCTTAGGCCATGCTACTGCCATTGATCTATTTATTGTCATAACAAACCTTGGTTCTAAGAATCTGTTCCAGTTATCCATGGGTGGCCCAAATGTTTATTTAATTGGATATTACATGAAATGTTATCAACTGCAGCTAACAAACTTAATCCAAAATGACACCTGTTGCAACTTGGATCTTTTGATTTTACACACAACTCACAATGGTTTTAGAAATGGGTGTAAAGCAACTGATTGGAAATTTGAAGAAACTCTGGTAAATTTGTGCTATTTTTTAAAAGATTATCCAGCAAGAAGTGATGACTTCAAAAGTGAGACTGGATGCCTGGACTTTTTACAAAAATTTTGTAAGTGCTGATGGCTAGAGAAATCAGTATTGTAGAAAAGTGCTTGTTCCTGTTACCTTAACTTATAATGTATGTGGGTGTTGGAAAAAATTTGCCTAAATTAAAGTCTTATAACAGTATTCATGAAGCTGTTAGTTCCTATCTCTTCATCCTCAAAGCAAAGTTTTTTCCCCTTGGAGAATTCTAGTATAATAATCAGTGTTTCCTTTGATAGCTGCAGATTTTGTCAGGGATTGTTGGAAAGATCTAGCATTTCAGAATGACCATAAAACATTGCGAGCCTGGATTTTACAGATAAAAAGATTTTAAAGGAATCTTCTAAACTTAATACTGGTTTTCTTACAAAGAAAGCCCTTAATGATTTAAATGGACTTCTAGAATTAATCATAAACATTTGCTAGGCTTTAGACTTTAATGAAGGAATTTCCACAATATTATAGTTGTGAAAATTGTTGAGAGTTCTCTCTTAACTTGTAGCTTGGTAAGGAACATGAGCTGTTTGAATCTGAAATGTTGTTAAATGCATCATCCAGTGCTGGTATGTTTTCATATTGTCTAAAACATCAGGTAAATAATGACAGAGAGGAAGAACGGGACTGTGACACTATTCTCAGGCAGTAAAAAGAGCTTCTCCTGATGTCTCTGCAATGCGCACCTTTGATGGAAATGGAAGATAAGGGTATAGGACATACTTCGAAAAGAAGACTAGAAAGCAGAGGTCACAGAAAGGTGACAAGAAAAAGGTTGAAGAATATGAATTGGAACTAAAGATCCCAACATAAGAAGATCAGACTTGAGTGTGACATTAAGCAGCTCCTTTCATCAATTGATAAAAACTTTGAGGAAGGTGACAAGGAAAGAACTTTAACCTCCTCACAGTGGTCAATTCTCTGAGGTAAGCTGTAAGAGAGAAGGAAGAATCTTTGGAGGCTCTCGCAGTGAATACTGAGTAGAAACTATTAAACAAGAAATGCTGAAACATCTTAACTTTTTTATTTGCAAATAATTCGGTTACATTTGAACACTGATAGATTAGTAATAAAAATATTACTGCCTTTTTATCATATAAAACATTATTTACCAATATTTGTATAATAGTTACATTTGAAAACGTGTACACCAGGTGTAATTTCTTGTGAAACCCACATGAAATCATCCTTTTATTTCTAAAAATGGTTATTGAAAAGTTCATAGAAAAATCATGAAATTTAATTTCTGCATAGGTGTAGGAACCCCGTCATCATCAAAGCTTGTGAAAATTTGGTTTTATGTCAATATATATAATAATAATAATAATTGAACTTTTTCTTATGGTTTGAAGCTGTTTGATATAAAACAACATAATTTTGCAAAGTTTGCCAATAATAAAAGTTGTGATCTAGGTATCCAAACTATAAAATTAGTACCTCTTGTCTTTAAGTTTGCAATTCCAATTTTTTTAATTCACCATTCAGACAGACCACCAATAGACAGATTATTTAATTCTCCCAAACTTTAAACATCTGATTCATGAGGATTCTAGTAGTTCTAATTGCATGAAATAGTATGGGAAGTCATTATATAGGTATCTGTATCAGCAAGCTTTTGTGCACAATAAATAAGTAAGCATTTACTTTAACCTCTTTGATGGCATAAGTAGAAGTTTTTCTTAGGAAAAAGTATTTTATTTAGTGACTAGTTTGATATGGGTCATTCAGGTGTAGAAGTGACAATATGGCTTTAAACGTGGTCTGGTTGTATTCCCCAACGTGTTTTTTTTACAAGTATGTCTTAAATGCTACAGTTTTATTAGTAACAAGCCACTTCACATTAAAAGTTATAATCTAGAAATGAAACCCATAAATTTGCAAAAAATGTAACGAGAGTTGAGTTTTGGTGGAAGCTTCCCTCTGCCCTGTGGAAAGAAAACCCCTGATACAGGGCTTTGTATGCAGTTAATTTGAGACCAAGATAAAGCCTCCTTACACAAATTGTAGGTCTAAAGGAATTATGAAAGAATGCCCTCTTGTAAATATTTTTTGTTTTTTAAATTATAATAATTTTCGCTAATACGATATTATATTTACCCCCCCAAATTTTCACACAAAATAAATCAAAGACTTCTTTTAAAAAATTTGTATATGTAACTTTTTAACAAAAGGAACATTAATGTTTGTAATATTTCTTATCAAAATGCTTATTGGATACAGATAGTTACCAAGATTTTATCAAGTTAAAAGCAAACAGTTGTTGCGATTGTACATGTAGATATTGATTGAGTACCTGGATAAAACTTGAACTTTGCAATGATAGATTTATATATCTTGAAAAATTTAAGAGCTAACTTTGTGTAACTTCTTTAAGTAAGATATGGTTATACTTAGCAAGTGTAGTGTGTTTTAATATTACCGTGAATGTCACATTTGGTTGTCCAGATTGGCTGTTCAAGCTTAAGAAAACGAGCAGGGGAGTGCCTAATAGTGAAACAAACAAAGATTTTCAGCGTGTAAGTACTTAATGAGGATATTACATATTTCAGTATAAGTATCGAAGGAAACTTTTTTTTTCAGTATTGCAGTGGCACAAATCTTTCTTGTCATTTTACGTACATATTTAATAGTTTGACTTAATATTATACATTTATTCTGTTTCTATTTAGGTATATCTATTCCACAAGTTGTTTTTATCTTCTTTTTTAGATCTTTGGGAATTTCATAAAAATAGATTAGTAGCGTAAGCATGTCTTTTATCATTTATGTGTGGTGTTTTGAGATGTCTTTTACTCACATACTGATCCTGTATTTATATAGGAATTTCAAAAATGTGTAACATTAATATTCTGAATTATATTGAAAAGAAACTGTTTAAAATAATAACTAATAAATGTGAACCTCAATCTATCATTTGATTTAACACTTGTTGAGTTATACCAGTTTTGAGGAATTCTAACCCTTGTTAAGTTGCCTTTATCCAGAGTTCATAATCAGGGGTGGAATTCTCTGAAACTGGTATAACTCGGTGATAAGTAGTAAGTCAAAAGATAGATTGGATTTCAAATCTTTTGTAATACACAGGTACTGGTACGTAAGAGTTTGTCATAGTTATAAATGAAAACTGTTATTTATTTTTTTTGTACTATTATGGCATAATTTCCAAGTTATGTAGCAGTACATAATTTCTTCAGTTGTTTTGACATCTAGCGTATATATATTTTTTCTTTACTTCTCCTGTCTTAAATTCAGAATTTGAAAACCTTGAACACATATCCCCTTGTGTGTTCTTTGTGAGACTACCTTACAATCCCTTGAATTAAATTAATGCATTTTCATGCAAATTATAATGTGGATAGCAAGGATTCCCCCCCTTTTTTTAATTGGTAGTCCAAAGTTTCTGCTGTGTTAGTCCCACGTAAAGTACAATAAGGCTATTTGAGAGCCGTGTAGAATAATCATTTTATGATTGTATGTATGAAATGTTACATGAATATGTATAAAATTAAATGTCATTATTATGAAATATTTCATACTTCTGTTTTTTCTGTCCAATTTCACAAATGGAAAGAGTGAAAGAAAAATTTTAGGTCTTTTTTTTTGTTTTATTACTGATAGGGACATATTTTTGGAAAGAAAGAAAAATGTTGGTGTTTTATCTTTACGTATAGGATGTTGGTAACAGCTGCTATGGCTTCGTGGGTGTAAATGTTTTTACGTAGTAACACCAGGTGAACACAAAAAATGAACTATCCCAACCTTTTTTTTCCTTCACTATAATGATTAAATTGCTACACATTGTAAATTTATATATCTGTGTTCATTGCAATGACTTCTTCTACAGTGTTACAAAGTTAGAAATAAAGAATAGTAATATATAAAAACATTAAACCTCGGGATAGGTTAACCAGTCTACACATACAGTTAAGTCTCAACAATTTCTTCACAGTCAGACATTTGGAACACTTCACCTGTTCCCATCATATCTAGGAAAAAGACAACACTGAGTGCTGATAGTATGATCCAGTTTATTTCACTCACATGCAGCTGCTTCATCTGATATTAGTGACATTTTGGATTAAAAAAATAACTATTCTGATATCTCGCCAGAAATAATCACATAGATTAGAAAATGTCAAAGATATGAATATTAAATAATTGAGCATTTCAATTTACGAGTCAGTAACTGAGCCACTATGGGTTAACCTGCTAGCAATTAATATGCCACCAATCTTACAAATATTTCAATGAAGTATATATTTAAAGACTTGAAAGAAAAAATAAAAACAGGTATCATTTTTTAAAGTTTTAAGGCAGCATCAGAGTTGAGTGTTTATCAAAGTGCTGAAGGTATCCATTCTCAAACAAATGTTGATTCAGTTCTCAGTGACAAGGCCATGAAATCTACTGAAGTGTCGTTACGTAGGAAGTCTTCTCATAATGGAGATGTACGAAGCTTGGATGATGAGGTAAATTTAACAGTTCATAAGAATTTATGAATGTCTATTATTCATTACATAATATGCATGCTTATTAGCACATTTCCAGTTTTATTGTTACAGAACAAATTGCTATATTTTTACGTAAAAACATCAACAAATATGCAAGTTTCTTCTATTTTAAAAGCTGTAAAGGAAGATTTACAAAAATCTTAAATTTTTTTATTTACACGTAAAACTGTCATCTGAATTATGTAGTTCAATGATTGAGATATTGACTAGTGGAAAAATTTGTCTTAGATACACTAAAGTCTGCTTGATTCTTCGTAGCAGGTTATGTTTGTATAGATACAATAACAGAATAATTTTGACATTATTTTTTGCATACTTAATTAATAGTATAAGTATTTAATTTGTCTAAATGTTTTCTGTGTTCCTTTGTGTATATCTTTTTTTTTATCAAGGGATATGATATTACAAGTTTAATGTAATTTTTTTATTTCAGTCATTTAAATTAAATGCCCTTTTTTTTGTCCCAAGCATTAATTATTCTGTAAATTTTACCACAGTTTTCTTTCAGAATTTTTTCTTGAGGAGAAGGATCTTATTTAGTGAGTTACGTGGTGCAGGGCATTCAGGTGCTAAAGGCATGCTATGTCTATAAACACGATCTGGTTTTATCCCTAAAGATCTTTTTACAAATATCTCTAAAATGGTATTGTTTTAAGGGCATCTAGTTTTTTTTCATGCTAAAAGTTATCATTTAGAAGTAAAACTTTTAAATTTGCAAAATATGTTTTTTAGGGAGGTGGTTTAGGGGAAGCTTCCTGGTGCCCTGTGGAAAGAAAACCTCTCCATTATTTATATAACACATGTAAACTTTACATGTATGGGAATTGTCACTAGGGTATTTTGATATACATGTTTATATACTCTTTGGGAGTATAATAATAATTAATAAGACTTGCTTTTGATGAAAAATAAGATAAAGTATTTACTGTGTTTTTATCAAATTATTTTCTTTGTGAACAAAAAAATAAAACAATCAAACTAACCAATAATGATTTTGTTTCAATAAAGTAACAACCCAGCAATAATTAAAAGATTTTGTAATTATATGATTCAGAAATGCTCTTTGTTTTTTTGATGATGAACGTCGTCGAATCGACTTTGTGTTGGTTTATAAGCCTTCGTCAGGAAAAGATTGTGAAATGGGGCAAGTGTTTGAACAAAACTTGAAGGATGAAGGTTTAGAACTGGAACATGTTGATAAGGTAAACCTTGTTCTTTTCCATTAAATATGTTATTTTGTGATGAATTATTCAGGTGTTTGTTTTGCAGAAGAAAATAATGTATAAAACATAATATTTATTAGAAGAAATTATAGCTTAATTTAAGCTAATATTCCCAATGTATGCAACTCTTCAAAATTTTTTCTTATTTCCAAAGTTATTATTTTACTGAATCTTTCATTGCTGTTATTTAATGTGTCTTGTTTGAAACTTTTTTCTATTTGCACTACAAAAATATTACTTTTCTCTAGTTGTTAACTTTAATTAGTCCATCATATATATATATTAACAAACTACTAGTAGTAAGAAAAAATCTCAACAGAAAAAAATGGTATTATTTTCAAGAGTTAATTTATTATATAGCTAGTGGTATAATTATTAGTATAACATCTGTTTTTATCAATTACTTTAGATCAAAGCAAGCTATGTACATAGATTAATAAATGATGTAACTAATTTAATATATGGTCCATCTAGTAGTATAATGTATTATAAAAAAATTAAAAATGATTATGTGATGAGTTGGGTACATCTGTTTTTATATGTAATTTTAGTTATAATTCCAGCTGAGAAGGCTCATTAGGCTTGGGAGATTTAGGCTTAAATCCATATATTAAGTAGTTTATACTCCATATGGTGTAGAAATTATTTTTTTTGCCCAGACATAGGTTTTAAACTAATAATATTTGATAAAAATGCTTACGATATTATGCATCATTCATACATCATACTTTATCTCCCTGGTGGGACACCAATAAGTTTATGGATTTACAACGATAAAATCTGAGTCTCGAGTTCCCATGGTAGACACAGGAGATAGCCCGAATGTGGCTTTGCTCTAAAACAAACAAAAAATGATGTAAAAACTACACCAGAAAGAGCTTTTACTATATGAACTGTGATATTAATATTTTGTTTAATCGGTTCCTTAATGTATCAAAATATAGAACCAGAACTGACATTATGATTTAAGGTAATTACATGTATAATGTGCAGCAGTGTCATACGTTATTCAAGAAGATTATAACAATGTGTAAAAGGCTAAAAGGAGGTATGTTTTGTGGTGATTAGTGCATTTAACTTTTCTCCTTGTGGCACCCTCTACGGGTGATTTCAAAAAACATGTTAAATCCAGCATGTGGTAAAGTGGTAAAATAAGTGAAAAACATACTGTTGTATAGTATGTGTGTGGTTAACTACATGTTAACTGGAAAAAAAACTTCTTTTCAGGCTAATGTCTTAAAATAAGTGAAAATTTTTTAATTCTGTGTAATATATATATATATTAAATTGTTTATTTTTTAATTACAATACCATTTGTATCGAGAATTCATAAGAAAAACCTCAAAAATGCTGTTTCTTATTTTTATGTTTAAATAGGGTGAAATGGGTGTAAGCTTTGTGAAAATCCATGCCCCATGGGAAGTTTTAACTCGATATGCTGAAATAATAAAGATGAAAATGCCGTTGAAGGAGGTAAGATGGTTTGGTGCCACTATAGCATGTGATCTACAAAGATATTTACACTATAGCGCACAGTCTCCACAGATACTATCATCATCACCATTTTAATGATTCACTAAAACATAATTTCTTGCTAAATAATTTATATCTATCCATGTTTTTCTTCAGTAAATAATAATAATTAAATAAGTTGTGTGTTCCAAAAGAATACATTAAATTTATATTATAATTGTGCTAATTTTGATTGTTGGAACTTATTTAAGTCTGATAATATTTGCCCCCAAAACGTTATGTAATGGCATTTTGTACTTTATTAGTTTAAAAGCATTATTTATAATAAATGGCACCAATTGCAAATAAATGAAAGTTAAAGTGGTAACAATGATAGTGTATGATGTGTAGACTGCATGCTATAGTGTATATATATTTGAAGACTGCACACTATAGTAGCACCAATTGTTTAGTGTTAACTTATTATTCAGTTTGCATGTGAGATTGCTTCATTGTGTTATAAAGAGGTGTTAGCATATTATAACAGAATGAAAGAAATAAATCTGATGTTTTAATATTTAATATTGTGTGCTAATAACTTGTACAGTACTAATTATAATAATCACAAATAAATATTGATGTAATTATTCTTTTAGATCTGTATGTCAAATGTAACATTTAATTGTCTTATTTTTTTAACTGTGTGCAAGTTTGAACTGAAAACTTACAAATTAAATTAATTGATCTAAGAGAAGTTAAGCATATTCATGCTATGTGATCAAAAATGTATTATTATCCTTTGTACCCTTCCGAAACAAAATATCTGACATTATTAGTCAGAGTTGAAGTTATCATTCTATTACTGTATTTAGTTAAAGTAGATTTCATTTTTTACAAATGCATGGATTTACATTTTGGTCTGAAGAAGCTATACATTGTGAATCCAGCACAAGAAGTGATTACAGTGAAAAACTGCTAAGGATGTGAAGCATAAAAATGATTTCCTATTTTCTCATTCTTGTAATTTAGTAAAGTGAAATATTAATAGATTCTGAGTAGTCGCATTCAGTTAGGCCAGTAACTGCTTGAATGGGCATAGAAAATGATTGAAATATAAAACAAAATATATATAACTGTATAAGAAAATGAGTTTAAAGCTTATACATTAAAATTAATATTTTAAAACAAAAGACAATTTGCTTATAATTTTGTTATGGTACAATGATTTAACTAAGCCTTTCTCATTTAGTTCCATATAAAACATTTCTTTTTCTGTCATACTGCAAAGTAATAATTTATATGAAGTATAAAGTTATGAATGAAACTATATGAAAACTTTAAAAATAATCCAAACTGAAATTGTAGTGGATATTGTTCACAAACATCATTTCGTCTAAAAACATATTACCAAGCTAAGCTTTAATCACTCTGTTTCAGTCTATATGGAAATTTTTGCTGAACTGTAAACCTTTTTTTTTTTACTTTTACAGTTGAAAATATCAGAAAAAAAAGCTTTCATGATGTGCTTAGCTCATTAGTAGCATATGACTTCTGAAAGCTGAGATATAGGCTGTTACATCACATGATGAGAACAGAGGTTGAGAAACCATGATTGGCTAAAAAAATTATAAAACTACACTTGTATTCAACTTACAAGGTCAACTTAATAATATTTTGTTGAAATCTATTATGACTATCCTCTGAGGGAGCTACAATTGCTATACTATGATCAGAAGAAATTTGGGAAATTCACAGACACCAATAATTTTATTTGTAATGCACTTAAATCAACACAAAATCGATATATCAATTATAAAGATTTTTTTATACATAAAATGAATTAAACCTTTTTTTATTGAGTAAATTTCAACTCTGAAGTACGTTTTTTTTTAATATTTGGAAGAATTACAACAAGTTTATTTTCTTTCTTTTTTCTTAATTCAGCAATGCAGTTTTGCCCCTGAAGTGTATTGCACCCATCCTGGCACGATAGAGAAAATATATACCTCCCCAACAATGTCTTGTAACCATTGAAAGTCCATTAAATGACTTCAACAAGTAATGCTAGAGTAGCTGGACATCTGACACAAATTTCTGTGATGTTACTGCTTAAATGTTATGTTTGTTTCTTTTTTATGAATTTTGCGCATGAGGGCTATCTGCACTAGCCGTTCCTTATTTAGCAGTGTAAAACTAGAGGGAAGGCAGCTAATCATCACCACCCACTGCCAACTCTTGGGTTACTCTTTTACCAACAAATAGTGGGATTGACTGTCACGTTATAACACCACTGTGGTTGAAAGGGCGAGCATGTTTAGTGACAGGGATTCAGACCTGCGACCCGCAGATTGCGAGTCAAGCACCCTAACCATCTGGCCATGCTGGGCCATTTAAATGTTATGTCCAGTAGTAGGACGGTACAGATAGTACATCAAAAAGTAATGTGAAATAACAGAATTATACTATAAATAGTAAGTAAGAATATTGATACATTAATTAAAATATAATCAAGTTAAGTCTGTTGAAAATAAAGATAATATATTATGAGTTGTGCTGTACTGAACCTTAACTAACGTTTGAGACATTGAGAAATTTTCTATATAATCAATTTTATTATATTTTTAATTGTCATTATTATAAGAATAATGTCAGTTTTTCAAAATAGAAATTTTTGCACCGATGACAAGTTATGTTGTGGTAAATTTATTATAAATTTTACATGAATTTGTTGGGAGTCCAATATTTTTAATGCCATGCATCAGCTTCAAAAATTACTTGTTTTTGTGTTGTTGTTTTTCTTGGTACCCAATTTTCAGTATTTGTGATATACTAATAAAAAAATTAAAATGAAGTATCAGTGCTATTGGCCATTCTTTTTGATGGATTTATGGGGAATCCAATATTTTTAATGTTACATATCAACTTCAAAAATTTCTTATTTTCTGATTTACAGTGTTCAAAGTATCCTACCATCAAATCAAAACAAGGTTACAAAACAATAAATCGACAGTATACATCTGAATACAGAAGAGACAAGAAAGACTTGTAAGTACACATGTTTGAACTCACTAAGTTTCTTTTCTTATAAGTCTTTGTTATCTTTAGTCAGGTGATGTTGTGTAAGTTCGGTGTTTATTATCTCTTAAAGTTTGTTTTCTTTTGAATATCTTGCAAAGCTACTTAAGGTCTATCTGTGCTAGCCATTTCTAATTTAGTAGTGATATACTAGAGAGAAGGCAGCTAGTCTACACCACCCACTGTTAATTATTGGGCTACTCTTTTAACAACAAATGGTGGGATTGACCATCACATTATAACATCCCCATGGTAGAAAGGGCAAGCATGTTCAGGGACAGGGATTCAAACCTATAATACAAAATGAATCTTAAAGTTTTCCTAAATATCCCACCTAGCAAGAGTTTAACATATAAAGATACAAATTGAATATCTCAGTTGTAGGGGTAGTGGTGAGGGGTATACATCATCTGCTAAGCATACATCACAAGCCAGTAACTAGTGTTGAGTTTCATATGATTAACACTTTCTATATGGGGTTTGGTCAATGTGAGCAACCGTGTAACCATTAATTTTTGTGTATCTTTACGAAATTTTGCAAGCTTTCAGTAAACATTTTTTACACAAAAAATCAGCTATTTTAATTAAGAATTTTTACTAATGATTTGTTTATAAATATATATATATATAGCCAGAGTGTTCACTGCTCTTAGTGCAAAATTATTTTTATTTTAAGATTAAAAATACTTTTCTTCAACTGAAATTTCTGAAAGAGAGGATGTGAAAGGTGGGCGTGGCAGGAGGGGCTGATTTTGTATTTGATTGCTCTGTAACTGAACAAGATTGAAAGCTATGAAAATTATGCTTTGCCTGAACAAGGAAGATATTATAGTGAGTAATTTACATTAACATTCATACATTTAGAAGGGATTGTAAAGATATTAAAGACGAGGAGCTACTTGAAGAGCTTGTACAATTGCACAATAATTGAAATACGTACCTGTACAGTTTGTCTAACTTCATGATAACTTTGCAGGAATTAGATGACGTCTCTTTATTGTTTCAATCACAGTTGGGCCACACTTTCACCCAGTTTTGTTGTGCTCTGTGTTGGTTTAGCTATTTTTGCATTTTTACTGTGTTAAAGTGCACATCCTTTCTTAATTATGGCCTCTAGGCACCCAGCAAGTGATAGTGTTGCTAAGTGGCTAAGAAGATAAAGATGATACTGGAGCAAAAGCTGAAAATTATACAAAGTTTTGAGGATGGTGAGTTGGATATTGCACATGATTTGTCAATCCTACCAACCACGGTGAGATCTGTAGTGAAATAAAGCAGACATTTTTAAAAGTGACGGACAAAAGAAGATGACATGACTGCAAGTGATTCTGCTGAAGATGCTCCACCAGAGAGAGTTCTTACCTGCAAAGTGCTCTGAGACATCTTTAATATGGTCAATGAAGCAATGGAACTCGCCTCTGAAAATGACTCTGACATAGAGCACAGCAGTGTAATGGCAAGGAATATTCATGATGCAATCTCTTGTTATCAAGAAATTTATAAAGAAAAAAAAGACAACTTACTATCACTTATTTTATTAAAAAACAGGCAGCTATACCTGAAGAGGAGAAGGTGGAGGATATTGCTCACTGCTTCTCTTCCCAGTAACTCTCCACCCCTCCCACACGGAGTCAGCTTCGAGACTATCGCTGTTGAGAGTTTTCTATACCTATATCACCCATTTATTCTATATATATAAACAACTTGTGCCTAATGAATTACAATTAATGGATTAGAAAGGCAGTAAGGTGCAGTGATTGGTCAATGGATATGTAGAAAAGAGTAGCGGGGCAGATAAAAAAAGTGGCGGGGCAGCCTGCCCCACTATCACGCTTTAGATGTAACTCTACTGTACATTAATGCATTTTGTAAGATATTATTGTAAAAATAATAAGTAAAATTATGTCAAATGGTTTATTATAGAAACAGTTTTGTCATCTGGACATATCTTCTATGTATTACATGTAAGTCAATGAGTTAGTGGGCCCATTGTTCATTGTAGCCCTCAGGAATGCATCCACGATGAATAACAAGGACCAGCTGTACTTACTTTTGACCTCTTATTTTTTGCTGTTGGTTGTCAATGAAATTTAAGCCTACATTTTTTTTATAAAGTACACTAATTAATTTATGATTACTTACATAATGCACCTATAAACACAGAATAATAACATGAACAAAGTAAACAGTGTCCTATAACTATTATGATTTAACTGGCTCTCTAACTAGGAGAAGAGGAGCTTAAATTAATTCACTGTGCTGCTGGAAATAAACTATCAAACTAAAAACGAAATTGAAAAAAATATAGCATTACATATCACTCAGCTGATTAAAACTTCATCTTTTTAGTGTTTATAAATGGTATAGTATAAAACATGAGAAAGAGTCATTGGAAATTTGTGAGAGAGGATGTAACAGGTGGGTATGGCAAGTTGGTCTGATTTTTTAGTTTATATCTTCATAAACAAATAAGACTGAAGGCTATAAAAATTAGTTTTTGCCTTAGCAATATCTATATCATAATGAGTAATACACATAAAATTTGGTACTTCAGAGAGGGGTAATAAATATATTAAAATTGGATGAAGACCTAGAGAAAAAATGTCACAATTTTCATACTAGGGGGACCTTGAAGATTTTTGTAAAACTATTTCCTTACGAAGTTAAAACTTACATATTATTAAAATTTAATTTATTAACTGTATTTTTATGCCAAGTTTATTCGTATACGTATGTAATAATGTAGATTGATTAAACTTTGAATGTAAATCTGTAAAAAGATTGTGACTCGCACTTTGACCTACTCATAGCAAGAGAGCTAAGGGTCAGTATGTTCCAACCCTTCCACTCAATATTTATGGCTCAGAATAGCCATGGGAGCAGGCCAGAGAGAGAGGCTGTATATGAGTTTTAAAGTATGATTCAAATATCTAATAGAATGGATAATTCCAGTCCTTTGTATTATTCAATCAACCAACTTTGAAAGAAAAAGATTGATAGCGACTGATTTGTTAATAGAAGTACAATGTGTAAGGTAAGATTTCGAAATTATTGCTCTATCAAACCGAGTAAATTTCAGTGCATATGTTAAAAATAAAATGCTACATTTATTTTACAACATATGACATAAAAGATAATTTATAGTCAGCTCCAATAGTACATTTTGAGAACCTGGATGTACTTGTGAAGATATCCAACTTGCTATCTATGATACCAGTAATTTTTTTATCTAAGAAATTTAGTTTTAAATCTGTTAACTGATATTTGACATACACCCTGTATTCACTGGTGTGCACAGTTACTAAACTAATGTTATTGTGTTGTCAACTTTTTGAAAGCCATAGATAGGCCTAAATAAAATGTTTTTAATTGTGTATCAGTTTAAAGTTGAATATTATTTGTGATTTTAATGTATAGAAATATATGAAAAAAAATTGTTGTCTTTCTTACATCTACTGGTCATTTGTTTTTAATTATCATCGTTTTCTGTGTTTGTAGTTCAGTCAGTGCAAAACTATGGTTAAAATGTTTTATATATTATTCAATATCATAAGAACAAGCATTTGTAACATAAGTATATGTCAGATTTCCATTTTGGCATTTAGTAATAAGCATCAGATAATATTGTGTCACAATCATTTATGTCAAATTCATGTTTCTAAACACAAACATTTATTGATTCTTTTAGTAAAAATATTAAAACCTTCAGTGGTTTTATATTTTGCTTGGCACCTGATTCAATAGTGGTACTTTTGATGTTACATGACACTTTAGGTTTAAGAATATATATATATATAAATACTGCAGAGAAACAAATCACAATTCAGTTCAAGAAACTAATAATTTAGACACATTTGGATGGTAGTCATAATGTTATGTAAGGCCATCAGCTGTAAATTTGGTAAGGAAGGTTCTAAATTTAAGAAGGGACCTGTCTTTTGTGTTTGACCTGTACAGTTTATCAGCTCCTATATTGAACATTTCAAACAAATTGTATTGACAAGGAGATCTGTGTAGTAATGTTTGTAATATTACATTAGAATAAGATTAATAATTTAAATCATAACATCCTTTACTGGCCCAATATAGATTTTCAGCAAGAAGAATGTTATCATAGTATTACATCTATACCTATTAATAAATGTAATACTTCGTTAGTTAATGTGTTCTACATCTTATTACTTTGTAAGTGTGACTTCTCATTTTTTATAATGAGTAATTTTAAAAATATTTGGTTTATATATTTTGATTTCATACTTGTGTAAATATTAATTGTACTGGTCCTGTTAAAGATTTGCTGTTCCAGCAAAGAAAGAAGACTTCTTTAACCCAGGCCAACGAGCTCAAATTGTGGACTTTATTTTGAAGCGGAAAAGCTTCAGCAATAATAAGGAAGATGATTATGCATTTGGTAAGTCGGAAAAATAATTTCCTGTAATGTCTTTTGTTTTGGCATAAGAACAGCTACCATTGAAACATTTAATTTTCTTTCTGTAATGTACTGTACATCAACATTTCTGGAAGAATTGACGAGCTAAATTTACATTTTGCAAATGTCAAATAAAAAAAGGAATAATGGATTTGGAGATTTTCATACTTCTCCAGAATATTTGCCTTTTTTCGGGGAGTCACCAATTTGTAAGAAGGACATTGACACAATTACTCGTACACAAAGAAGCAGTAGTGTATCAGAAGGACATTGACACAATTACTCGTACACAAAGAAGCAGCAGTGTATCAGAAGGACATTGACACAATTACTCATACACAAAGAAGCAGCAGTGTATCAGAAGGACATTAACACAATTACTCGTACACAAAGAAGCAGCAGTGTATCACTGGAAAGAACTGAAAATTATGATAACAATGTAATAATACTTTATATCACTAAAAAAAACAACAAATAAAAACTCAGGCATAATATTAAATCTTTAATAAATAGTAATAAAGACATAGGTTTCCTAAACCAATTAAACAAAAACTTAATCATTATGGCCAACCTTTAGTACATGACAGATATGTGCTTAGGTATGTTACATATGATATGTGGTACCAATATTTGGTGTCATTACAATTGTTCTTTAGATAATTTTATTTATTATTGCTATATTTAAATATTTATACTGTGTGTTTTTCTCCTGTTGTTTTCAGGAATAAACAAGCTCATAAACGATAACGTGTATGAAGCCGCCTTTCCTTTACATGAGGTCAGTTAACTTATTGGATTCTCCTTTCCAAGTGTGCTTGTTGTTGATAAAGTACTTGTGAAAGTTCAAGTTTTCATGGTTGTTATATTGCACAACTATTGTCTCTGTTTTTCAAACATTAAAAGTGTTATCCACAAGTATTTCTATAGTCAATGTGTATTATTTTAAGATGTCATTTTTGCAGTTATTTCAGGTTTATGACTTGAGGAATTTATGTAATAGGGTTTTTCCTGTAGTTTGTTATCAATATTTTTTTCCAGTAAAACGTATTTTAAAATATTCTCCTTGTTGTCATTATACTTGGAAATATTTCATTTCTTGTAGCAGTAAACTAATAGTTATGTTGATAATTTACACCGTAATATTATTAGGGGGAATATAATTCTTCAAATGACGAAGCTCCTCGGACATGGTTAATGAACAACTGGGCTGGTGTGTGGTCAGTATGGAAAAAACAACCTCTTGATGACATTAAGTAAGTAGTATTAATCAAGTAACTGTATAGAATTTATTTATTTAAGAGATAAACCACTGTTTGAAAGTTTGAGAATTACTTAAAGATTGTAATCATCTTAGTAACATTCTGTATTTGCATGCCATTTTTAGAGTCAGGGTTGACAATTTTCTTATACTGGTTGAATTTCAAATTAAATCACTCCAAATACCAAGATTTGTCTACAAGGATAGTCAGTTAAAATAGGACAGCGTTGCTTCTAGGATGCATACTTTGCCTGAGTATTAATTCACACAAAAAAAGATAGAAGTATGCATTTTAATATTTTGTGTGCACCCACCCTTCAAAATGTATTATGAATGACTTTGTAGCAATAGATCGCGATCCTAACCGGAAACTTCTGCATAGTTATTTGCTGTTTTGGATACGCAAAGAAACGTGATTGGCTGCATTATGAAGTCATTTGATTTTGTGGTAGATTCACTTGATAAATGGCAGAAAAAATGAAAGGTATGAAGACAATCAAAAAGCGGTTTATTTTCAAACTAACTGTTACATTTTTCCATCAAAACGATGCCAAAATAGAAATAAATAAAGGAAAAAAGGCACAGAGAAGATGACTGCAGTGTAAGTTTTGTCAGTGAATGCGCAGATGTTTCAATGAAAGTGTATTAATCGGTCAGATTTAGCTTACATACCACATTTTACTATATTTTCAGTACATACACAAATGAAAAATTGCAATGATTCAATTTTGCTGTTTCTTCAAATAAATGTTACTTGATCACATTATGCTTTTATGACTCACGAAGGCACAGATACTTCATTACATGGATGGCTCACTTTCTGAAAGTAAGTGGGGAATTTGGCCCACTTGAGAAAAATCCTAGAATAAACACTGTACGAGGAAAAATTTTCTCACATATTGCTGATTTATTAATTTCATTCAGCTAACAATTTCTAAAAAAAATATGGCAAAAATCTAAATAAAGGTAGCTCCAATAATATTTTTCATTGTTCTTTATAGATTCCTTAAAACTTGCACAAAACAAGAAAATAGATATTCAACTACGAATGGTAGTATACCAGGAAAAATATTTTGGAAGAATGAAAATTGAAGACTTGAACCTATTACTTAACATTCAGATATAAAAAACCAACTAAGCAACAGAGCTTATGAATATCACAAGTATCAGTTCTGATTTTTACCCATTACTCAGATTAGTCAGATTTATTAGCAAACTAAGCAACAGAGTTTATGAATATCACATGTCTTAGTTCTCATGTTGACCCATTACTCAGATTATTCAGATTTATTAGCAAACTAAGCAACAGAGTTTATGAATATCGCATGTCTTAGTTCTCATGTTGCCCCATTACTCAGATTAGTCAGATTTATTAGCAAACTAAGCAACAGAGTTTATGAATATCGCATGTCTTAGTTCTCATGTTGCCCCATTACTCAGATTAGTCAGATTTATTAGCAAATAAGCAACAGAGTTTATGAGTATCACACATCTTAGTTCTCATGTTGCTCCATTACTCAGATTTATTAGCAAACTAAGCAACAGAGTTTATGAATATCACATGTCTTAGTTCTCATGTTGACCCATTACTCATTAGTGTGTTGTAACCAAGTAAGGTAATGGAATTTTGAATGCCACAGGTCTTAGCTCTCATTTCAACCCATTATTCACTATTTGGACTTATTAGCAAACTAAGCTACAGGGCTTATGAATACCACAAGTATCAATTATCATTTTGACCTCTTTCTCAATAATCAGGTGTAACCAACTAAGCTACTGGATTTATGAATATTACAACTATCAGTTCTCATTCTAACCTATTACTGGATTTATGAATGCCACGAGTCTCGGTTCTTTTTTTTTTATTCATTACACATTAGTCTGACATAACTAACTAAGCTACTGGACTTATGAATACCACATGTCTCTGTTCTCACTTCAACCCATTATTTACTAGTCAGGTGTAACCAACTAAGCTACTGGACTTATGAATACCACATGTCTCTGTTCTCACTTCAACCCATTATTTACTAGTCAGGTGTAACCAACTAAGCTACTGGACTTATGAATACCACATGTCTCTGTTCTCACTTCAACCCGTTATTTGCTAGTCAGGTGTAACCAAGTAAGCTCCTGTTTAATTATTCTTGTGGGAAGATTTTTTGCCTTCTATTACTAGTTATTGTATATAAAAATCGATGTTGTATAGATATTCTTTTGTGTTTTGTTTGATATAAATCACTTCTGTGTTTGTTCCTCTCACTTGTTTTCAGGGAATATTTTGGAGTGAAGATAGGCCTGTATTTTGCCTGGCTTGGATTTTACACTTATATGCTGATTCCCGCTTCAGTGGTAGGAGTGCTGTGTTTTTTGTATGGGTGCCTTTCCTTGTTGGGTGATACTCCTAGGTAAGAGTAAATGTTGCCTTAAAATATTTCATAGGAAAAAAAATAACCCGTGTAACTCATGGTTTGATTAGTTTCTAAATTATACTTTAGATATACCTGTAAGTTAGAGCTGAATGATTAGTGGAATTTGGTAAGTGATTAATCATTAGACTCATTAATCAGTTTTGTTCAGCTAATTGATTATGCTTACATTAGACTTGAATAGTTGTGTTACGTCTCCATTTGTTAATTAATTGTTCCGTAACTTCGTTCTGACGAAACTTTAGCGACACAAGTTCTTACTTAATAAAACTGGTTTATTCTTTCCGAATACAACTTTACAATACACTTAATTTCAATAGTTGCGCTATAATAAACGCTATATCAACGAACGTCAACAATACTTCTGACTGCAGTTCAATTACTCATTACCTACACACACATTGTTGTCCCGTCACGTTGTCACCCTCTTATATAA